GGGAAGGGTTCTTAGCTGCTCAGAGCTGTGGATCCTGCTACCTGACAAAACCCTAAACTCTTCTGTGCATCATGACCATAGCATTCACATATTACCTCTTACTACAGATATGCTGGGGGATTCAAAGTTTGAGCCATACAGTTACTGTGGTAGCAGGAACTATATAAATACCTCACAGAGGATTCGCATAGACCAGCTCCTAATTTGGGACCATTGTTTCCAAGGAGGTTTTGGCCTTTTTAAATGACCAGCTAAAGTAGGCGGCTGAATACCAATACAGGACTGATGATAACAGCCACACACAAACTGACACTTTCTTTTCTCCTCTATCATGGCAAGTTAACTACCAAAGCAGTAACCAAGCCCATATTTCTACATACATAAGAACTCCCACTGACATAAATATGAGTTTAGGGTGAGCTAAAATACATAAAAGTCATTTCTACTAATAGGCACATATCAAGCTGTCAACAATGATTTGAGTATAACACTAAGGACTGTGAAGAGACAGCCATAATCATTCCATGTTAATTCAACTTGCAAGAAGATGAAGGTCAGGGGACAAAAAGCACAGCAAAACTAAAAACAGGAGTTGTCAGATGGAAAAGGACAAAACCAGTTGGAAAATAATTTTATTTTTCAGACTTCTAAGAAAATTTACAAACAATGGTGGTGTAAAAAAAAAGACACCCTATAAAAAGGTTGACATCATTTCTCAAACTATAGCATCAAATGAAGTTACAGAGCAACAAGCATACAGTGAAGGTCTATTTGTCAAATTAGTACTAGTTAAGTGGTAGAAAATGTAATAAGTAAAGTCTAGCAATAAATCTCTACAGCTTACTCAGAAATGCCATAACAATCCAAGATTCTGAGCTCAAATTACACTTATGATACACAAAGAATTCATCTCTGCAATCATCTATAGCACTGAAATCACCTAGGCAAAAATTACATAGCAAAGGCACAACTTGTGAAGTTTGTAAAGAAGGACATCTTGAGCACACTACAAGAACATACAACAGAAAGCAAAACACCCTGCATGCTTGCTTATTAATCCCCAATGTCTAATATGAAATACAATATAGAAATAATAGAAGCAATAATTAGTTACTTTCTTCATGCTGGTTCTATTCTTCATCCAGAGTGCAACAGAAAGGCTTCCTTGCCCTATTTTCTGATTGAACCTTGGCACTTTCCCAGGGTTATGTTCTCCCTATGTTCATCATCGTCCTTGGCATTAGTGAAGCAGGTGGTTCTTAACCAATTCAATCCCAATCACAAACGCCACCACACCTTCCACGTATGCATGTCTTCATCCTGCAACCTGTTCCCAACTCCTCCCATGCTGAACTCCAACACACACAGACAACATGACCCAATCTAGTCTCAATTTGCCAAAGCTTACATCCAAGGCAGAAAACAAATCAATGTTTATATCCTTTATCACTGCTGTATCTTTCCTCTATTCAGGTCACTCACTCACTCTAAATAGTAAGCATATAAAAACCATTAACACAATTTAATTAACAGCTTAACTTGAACTTGCAAAGGAACTCCGAACACTGGCACACTAAAGCCTTTTGAACATGAATGTGAATAAACATGAAAACCTGGTGTCTTCATTAACCCATAAATCAACTCCTCTTAGCCCTAACTGCATCTTAAACATACTTTGTTCGGAGTACAAGGAATAAGAATTATTTTTTAGTTACAGCATATGGATCTGTGCTTTCACTGTATCCATCACAAGAAAAGCTGAAGACTGTGTCCATTAAATACTGCTAAAATAACTCACCTTGAAAGTTCAGGACAAGGTATCGAAAGGTTATTTTTTTCTTTCAAAAGTAAAAATGAACCCATGAATCACTCCATTTAATGAGAATTCTTTCCCAAATGCTTACAAATGGGTAGGAAAAAAAAAAAGAGGAGAAGCAGATGTGTGTACCTCGTGCTAAAATAAGAGTTAGTAAGAGCGTTGCCTCAGTGTTTCTCTCACTAAATTTGCTTAAATATTGACAATTCCTGAAATTCTTGCCAACTGATATTATTAGGGCAACTAGAAATACCATGAAACTTGACAGCATTTTGCAATAAAAGATGTGGGTGTGTATATTGTTGGGGTCAACAGGCAGTTAAAGAGAAGTGACGTAATTTAGCCTTTACTGGCTAAATTACAAGATATGCAATGGAATATTCACTTCCACCTTCCTGTCTGCCACAAACGTCTAGGGTAAATTTTGAAAAATTTGTGTCTAAACTGACAATTCAGATCACCCAGAAACATTTAGACCATGTGATCTAACTGTACCTTAACTAATTCTTTCCTCACTTCCTATAGCGAAGCCATCTTGGAGCTTTCTGATCCCAGAGCAGAGCTTTTCTAGGAATCAGTCTTGTGCATTTTTCCCAACTTCTCTCTAACTACAGGCAGCAGACTCAGCAAGCCAGCAGCAGATACACTGCTGTGCACCCTGCTGCCTGCGCTGCAGAAAGAACAGAAGCAGAAGGCTGAATCTCAAGCCCTTGCATTCAGCCAAGCTTTCAGAATCAGGCTAGAAGGTCAGCGAGGGCCTTTGGTGCAGATAGCTGGCCAGGATGGTCTTGGAAGAACACGAATCAATGATCAGTATAGACACAACCTTAGCCTGTTACTGCCTCCCTATCCCCCAAACATTGCCAAGTACATGACAAAATAACAGAGGCTATACAAGTGCCTCAGGCAGCCAGCGTTTTCTAGTTTTCAGACACGTGGAAGGCAGTCAACAACGCAAACACATGAAATACGTTACGAGAAGAAAATAACCCCCAAGTTTAGAATATTTTATTTTTTCTTTCATAACTTACTATACACTCAAGCCCTTTTCATAGCAGTGATTTATGTCATCCCACAAGCTCAATTAAATGTACACATTTCAATGCAATACTTAATTCCTCCAACAAAATTCCTCCAACAAAAGTCTCTCTTGCTGAGAATCCCTACTACACACAGTCCTTAATTTGAGCACTCTTTTTAACTTTCACAGCCTTTCAACAGCTCACCAACACAAACAGCTTTACCTTCTTCTAGTTTGGCAAACACATTCACCAAAAAAAGTCTTCTCCGGAATAGTTAAACCCAGAAATATTTCCTCCACGCAATGTAGAATTAATGTATAAAGCTTATTGCCACAAAAAGCCAACAATTCTGCAGTGTTCAAAAAGAAATTAAGGGAATAGCAGTCATAGTAGCAGATACCAGCAAATATGTTTAGAAAGGTGTATGAATCTCCATGCTTCAGGTTTTAAGTCTCTATGACAATCAAAAAATTTTTTTTCCTGTAAATACACTGTCCTGGTATACACCACTAATGAGGTTTTTTACACCTCCTCTAAAGTTTGGCCAGTTATAATACTGGAGTAGTCGATCTGCTATGGATTGCCATGCTAACTTGACTATCTTCTCTTTCCCCAGTGAGAAGCTTCGCTAATCCGGCTTCTTGTGCAAGACATGCTCAAACTACAATGATAAAGAAAAGAAAAACATCAATAAAATAAAAAATACGTACTGTGGTCACCTAAAGAGCAGCACATATTATTTGGCCTCCCTTCTTTCTTCTTTTGCAATATCAGCAGTAAGACAGATCAATGTCCTTAATGCTAAATTACTATTACATGACCAGTTCAGCCCTCTGCGCACATAAAGCTTTTGTCTCTGCAAGATACTCACATACACCCAAAACCAAAACTGGCTAATTTAAAAGTAATGTTTAATGGCCTATATGGTTCAGTGTTTTCTTGATCAGGCACAGATTTTGAGGAAACCATGTGCAAAGCCTCTCGACCATAAACAACCCAAAAGTTATTACCGGTTCAAATTATAAAGGAAACAACAGCATTTATGACTTGCAACTTAAGTCATTTTAAATTAATCATGCTTGTTAGCATCTTCTCACTGTTAGGTATTTACCTTTAGTCCACCACAGATTGGACAAGCTGAAAAAAGAGCTCTTGTCATCCCAAGGTGGGGGCTACATGTGTCATAGGGGTCAGCTGAGGCCCCACTAGGTGGTGATAACTCACTACTTTTGGAGTCTGACACCTGTCTTTGTGGTTTTGTGTCTGACCACCTGGAAACAAAATCCACATATGTCTCATCGCTTGACTCCTTGGTGCTTTCTGCGAGTAAGGACGAAGGCCTCCCTCTGTCCCGGCTGTGCTCAGGCACCCTCCGTGCTTCCAAGTGTGGTAGCAGCAGTTTTGGGTCACTAGCACCTTGAGGTGACAGAGCCTGGTCCTTGGGTAGCGTGGAATCTGCACTCTTCGGTTGCACATCTTTAGAAGCTGCCTGAAACAAACTCCTGGGTATATCATAAATATGTCTGAGAGAACTGGGAACCTGATACTCTGACCCCACACCTCTCTGGGGCTCACTGTGAGGACAAGTACATAAATTCTGATCCGAAGGAAAGTTCAATGGCAAGCTTAGCAATGATCCAAATTCATCGTTGTGGCAAATATCCAAGCTCCCAGCATAGGAAGAGAAGCTTCCAGAGTAAGAGGAGTGACTACCAGTAGCTATTCCACTGTCAGAAGAGCTCTGACGACCTATTTCCTGTAGCTGTCTGGATCGGAGGGGCTTTGGAGGCGGTTTAGTGGTGCCACGTGCCCCCTCTGGAAGGGTCTTTTCTTCTCCAAGATGGACGCCCTTTGCAGCTGCCAGTCCGTGACTCTCTTGAGAAGTGCTGGCTGAAGACTGTTCAGGCCAAATTGTCAATCTGCTCCCGACACTAACATCCGAGTGGCTGGTATCTGAAGATGAGCTTGAAAGACTTCTATCGTCTCCTAGAAAAGAAGAAAACACATCAACCTACATCTAAAACATAATCAACAGGCTGGAGCGCAGCAAGTACGTACAAACAGAAAGGACCCTGCGATTCCATCTGCTTTTTGTAAGGGGAACTTCTGTCAGAAAGCCAGAATTCCTGCAATAATTCCTATCCCCATGGGAAAAATAAAGTTAAAACACTATGTTACCTTGCCCTAATCCTACCACATGTGGAACATAACACATTCAGGGCTAAATTTTTAGAGTTTATGCACCAAGTTCCCCTCTCTTCAATTTTACTTCATTACACTTAATTGGTTTTATTTTAGATACTCCTATCATATATCACAGGGAATAGTCAAAAAGTCCAGTGCTCAGAGTAGCTGAGGATGCTCTGAAGAAAACCTTGTTGCTGTAACCTAAAGTCATTTAAGACATTTCCATGTTTCTATTTGAGCTGAATCAACAAAATTATTATCTTATTTGTACTTTTTTTCTCTATTTAAATCTTATCTGGATGACATCAAAGAGAATTAACATTCTCTTAGACTGCAAAAATAAAATCAAACTTCAGACTGTCCTGTTCTCTCTTCTGAGCTCTCCTACACTGTACTTCTACATAACACCCATACCAAAATGCAACCATACATCCCCGTAACAAACAAAAATGAGAATACTGCTATTACAAAAATGTTTAAACTAGATACAAACAGGTCTTCCATGACTCATTTATGCACATATTGCAAGAATTTTTTTTCTTCCTGATACTTGGAAGGAGGACACTTTTACAGGTAACTACAGCTATCCAAGACAGAAGATGGAAGAAAAAAATTAAACTCTGGCATGAAAGGGCATAAGGAGAAAACACAAACATCACACAAATACATACTCAAAACCAAACAAATAAACCAACCCCACTTTCTTGTAGGAGCACACACAGTTCACAATGTTATTTCCTTCCTTCTTAATAAAACCGATGTGAAAACAAAGGCTGACTGCAGAATCATTTTGTAGGTATTAATTTTAATTAATTTTGTTAATTTTAAACCCTGGGCAATAAATTGCCAGATGGGGTAGAAGGAGGAAGCGTCCACTGCAAGTTGTGACCTGAGCTTCTGGTGTTATTAGACTATTTCTCTTCTCAGATGTTGAGGGAAAAGTTTAGACCAGTCTGTTGCTCTTCATGGAGCAATTCTTGACATATACTATGACAAAATAGCAATATTTATCCCATAAAATATAATCCTTTCTTTTCCCCCAGTGCCCATTGCATGACGCTAGCTTGCGACCCCTGTGCAAGGGTAACTCCTGAGATTCAATTATACAGCTGTCTAGATGGAAGGCACAAATTACAAAAATATTAGTGTAGCTCTCAGCAACATGACCTAAAAAAGAAATACACTTGTCAAATAAAAGTTATTCTGCTTAAAAAAACATCAATTTTTATTGGAGAAAAAAAAAAAGACTGCTGAATTTATTTTGAAATTACTTCTCTTAGACAAATATTTTAGGTACTTTAAAACTCTGTAAGGGAAGCCCTCCCACAGTCTTGAAGCAAATGCTCTAACTATGTAGAGTTACGTGTTCTCCAGGGCAGTGGCAGAACCTAGATCTCCAGATTCAGGCAAAAGTCATCTCAGCAAACCTACAGGGACAGTCTTGTTATAATATTTCCCATCAACACAAATATTTAGTTTTCCTATGCAAAACTCAAATAACAGAATATGAAAATCTTACTCTAGGATTCCTCATTCTCTGAGGATTATAACATTATTCGGAGAATCCGGTCATAGATTCAAGTAATCTTAAGCAAAGAACGTATACAAAGTTGTGCCACATGTTTTCTAACCAGAGTGACTGGATAAAAAAACCAGGCATACTCCTCTATCAAGTCTCCTTTATTTTCCATCAAACTAGTCAAGTCTAGTAGTTATATGCTAACTAAGAAAAGACATCAGGAATTCCCAGTGGAACACAGTCATAAACTACGTTACTCAACAGCGTCAAGACTAAAGTAGCCATGGACATGTATAGAAGCAAGTAATCTTGACGATTCTCACAGGGCCATTTTTAGCCTTGTAGGCTTCAGAGTCAAGAGAAAAGTAGATGTTTTGAAGATCTAACTTCTGTTATTGAACAATTCAAATGGCAGCTCAGGGCACAGGCCCTTTTAAAAATCCAGAGCTAGACACCAATTCTACTTTAATACATAAGCAGCTCCAGAAGGGACGTGCACAGACAACCATCACTAAGGGCAACAATAATAACACATAGAACCAAAGCACAGGAGCCCTAGGTTTTAAGTACAAAAACTTGCTGTAAGCCTGGTTGTGTGAACTACACAAGTCAGTTCATCTCACAGGCTGGGGTGAGTCAAATACTTAAGCAGATATCAAACTTGATGCAGACAATTCTTTTGAAGTTGTTCATGCATAAATTCAGTAGGATTCATCACACTAAAGATTTTTCCTGTGTGACAGGTATTTGATCCAAAACTCACTCCGCTCAGCTGAAAAACTCCGATCTATGTCAACGGACTTTAAACAATGCTGTTAAAGAACTGCCCCACAAGCAACAGCAGCCAAATCAAATATCTTAACCATTTCTCTATTATTTTTCTCAGCATCTTAGAATTATATACATACGCTCATTTCTAAAACCTGGGACGGAAGGAACTCCATTTATTTTTATTTAATTAAAGATATTTCTTACCTCCACTGCCCTGGCGACTTGTATGGGACAGCAAGCTCAAGCGCTTTTCTAATTGCAAAGCTTCATGAGCCAATCTTTCTTCTGAATAGGCTGGATTTGTACTTGGATCTTTAAAAAGAAACAGAAAATAAATAAGTATAACATGGAAAATATATAAGAAAAAAAGAAGGCACATTCTTGTCTTAGATACTCTGTTCTTATGTTGCATCTTCTTCTGCAGGAGAGGAAAAATGCTGATCAGAAAATGTATGGGACAACTTGTCTTCAAGCACATCCTAGAGAATTGCCACATAATAACTTATAATTTCAAGTGTCAAAGATTTTTAGAGGTTGTATCCAATGTCTTTAAGAGTTGCCACCAGGGACAGAATGCTGAAGAGCGTAGCACCGAAGGCAATAGCTACAGAGATTATTAGCATCCCGTCGGTCTAGAGAAGTTGAAAACTGATGTGTGACCTGTAAAATGTGTCTTGAGTTCACTGAACTCATTGGGAATTTTAACACGGAGAAAGGCCAAATTTTTCATCCTACAAATTTACAAATCTACATCATAAACTCAGAGTCATAGTGATTGAACTATCTGTCACCTTCCAATCCAGATCACCTATTTACAAAGACATTGCTTTCAAGTTTGATGTTCAGAAGGTCATTAAGTTCAGAAGTCAGAGATGAAATAAGCAACCTGGTGACTCTCTGCCTTCATATTTAATACAAGACAAGTTAGAATGGTAAAAATCA